GATTAAGTTAAAATAGTAAATACCCTTCATTTCATGCTCATGTGTCATTGGCAGTCGTTTGACGAGCCAGGAAATGTTGAATAAATACAAATACTTAACGTAGGTTTTCTTAGACGATGTTTACACAATTTCTTCACATTTTTCATCGTTTTATTGCACATTGTCTCCACAGTTTTACAATACATGAATACAGTGTACACAAATGTCGATCCAGCTTGTATTACCGATTGCGGTTATCAAATTGTTGTCTCCTCGCCGTTTGTTCAAATACAAATACGGTAAATACAAAAATGTGACCGCACTGCTTCTATGTTATTTTCCATGTACGTGTAGACCTGACCCATCGCATTGTGCTAACGAGGTCACCACATCTTCAGCAGCCGCTGCCACTATTGACGCGGTCAGAACGGTTAGCAGCGCCCGTGATGGCATGAGGCTGCATGATCAAATCTACACTGTACACTCTAATATCAAGAAAGTATTCTTTCTAGACCAAAGAGTGGTATATTTGATAAATAAAGATAGAAATATTTACGATACTTCTCCAGACGTTTCGTTGCTCTGAACAACATCGTCAGTGGATAAAGAAAGTGTACTGTACACTCTCTGTGGCCGGTATCAGTATCAGTATCGTTACAATGGAGGCTGTGAAGCTGTGGAACAAAGGTGTTCTGTGTGTGTGTGTGTGTGTGTGTGTGTGTGGGCGGGGATGGGGGGGGGGGGGGAGTCATCTAACGTATTGATATCGACATTATTCTGAAGAAATCTGCAATGCCAGTAGGCCTGAAGTTAGTTATGTGATGTTGCTGCTAAGCGCAAGGCAAAGTACATGAACTTCAATCAATTTACGGCATTAAAGCGTATTTTATTTGTTCTTCTTTCCACAGAGGAAGCTGTCTCCGAAAGAGATCAAATTACGAAAAGGCATGTCCCTGGCGGTTGCCTACGGGGCTAACTGTGGCGGCATTGCAACTCTCACCGGCACGCCCACAAACTTGGTACTCGTATCCCTGCTGCAAAGGTACATCTTTGCCCTGTTCTGCATCTAATCTATGCTTGGATTGGAATAATTATGACTCTGAGTATGCCCACTCGCCCAGTGAAATGAGTCAGATGCTATTGCATTAGATATATTACTACTCCTACTATGGTGTTCACTGGTTTGAGGGAAAGATGTTAACGGGAAAAGTCTGCATCGGAGAAAAAATTGACTGTCACCACCAGGACTCGAACCAGGGACCTTCGCTTGAGGCCAGCGATGCTCTAACCACTGAGCTATGGTGTAGCTGTCATCCCGACAGAGACCGTTCAACACACTACGGTAATTCACAAAATTAATAACTACAGTACCGTACACTTGGCTATAAACTCCACTGGCAGCCTCATTCCTCTAGCCTGGGGGTAATATTATTGTTTTTTTGTTGCCTTTGGCCATTGTACATGTACATGCATGATGGGAGCCCAGCTACCTACAGTTGCAAATGGAAGTAATGAACAGATTATCACGGAATTGAAATGTAACAAATTGACCAACGTTGGTAACCAAGCGGGCAGAATACTCACATTGTTGCATGAACTGACAGTGCATGCTTGTTGTATCATACACGGCTCAGACCCTCCACTATTTGCTTTGAGCGTAGTCACATCCCAGCACTGCCAGCGGGCCTCTGCAAGACTACATTGTGGATCAAACCGGGCTGGTGACATGTGATAGCGTCGTGTATCAAGCTACAGTCTATTCACTGAAACTGGGCCCGTAGGTTTTTCACAGTCTCACTTCATTCAGTTATTCAAGATTGTGAAGTCCGTGGCGATGACTTACTTTTCGAAGTATATAGGGCCAAAAATTAATATGATAGCCATTGTTTGAAGCCTAGGATGAAGTGAATGCGGTGAAAATGGATCAAGATATGACTGGATTGTGCAAAAGTATTTTTGAAATTTTTTCAGACACATATCTTTAGTGATCAGGGGCCTCGATTTGGTAAATGGATTGTAGGTCTTGTGACATGTGTGTGCAGCCTGTTTCCAGACTATGACAACAGCATCAGCTTCGGCCACTGGATGGCGGTGGGATTCCCGACGACGTGCCTGCTGCTTGTTCTCACTTGGCTGTGGCTGACACTGGTGTTTGACTTTCGTGGGTACGTCCTTCCTCAAAGCTCCTCAGTTAACTGCATTCTCGCATTGGCTTCCATGTACATGTAGTTGGGCATGTAGCCCGTATGTACAGTACTGGGCAAAGAAATCCAACCTCATGAATAAAATGGCGCTAGGCGCTACGCAGGCACTACACACACACTGGTCTGTGAACTCTAACGTGGCGCTACTCTATTCATGAGGTTGGATTTCTCTGGCCAAAACTGTAGTGTACTTGCGTATTCAAATAAAGAACACACACACACACACACACACACACACACACACACACACACACACACACACACACACCTTGACCTTGATCTTGCCCATTGCGTACGCAATGATAGCGAATGTCGGA